AAATCGAAAATAAAAAATAAAATTTTTTCATTGAAACTTTCGTTATCAAAGAAATCAACTTTATCACGCGAACTCGGTGAATATTCAAAGTCGATTTTTTCAAAAACGAAGCTTCGAATCAAAAAATTTTATTCCTTTTCTTTCAATTCGTTTCTGCATGTAGAATCACGCTCTTTCCGGTTGTACTACCATTGCTGCTGGAACACCCTGTATAATTATATGAAAAAAATGCAACATATTTTCTGTCCGATTTTTTTACATCTTTATTTAAAAAATAAAAATGCTTAATACTTCTGTATCTAAATTATGCCGCTTCATCGAATACATGCTTGCATTTAATAATAATTTTGCTAAGGCGCTTTATGCATCAATTATCTTATTATAGATGCATACCTCTGCGTCTATACTACTCTATTTAACTGCAAAGAACAATCTTATGTACTATATATCCAACGAATGTTTAAATATTATAATTGCACCAATATTTTATTTTATATTATAATATAAATTATTATATCGTTAAAAAAATAAGAAATACATGTACAATTAATTGTAATGTAATAATTAATATTTTGTGTGTTTTTATTTCGTTTGAAAATAGAATCTAAAATAACTGTAAATAAAAATATTCAATTTACATTTATTAAAAAATAGTGGTTAACATAACTATTTTCATTCAGTTTATATATAAATATAACAAAAGCAGTAAATAATGTAATAAAGAGAATAGTAAATAATTAAACATTCGTATAAAGAGTTTTTTAATTTTATTATTGGTTAATAGTATATATATTCAAACTGAAGGAAGTATTTTTAAACATCGATTTTAAATGAAAAGCATCAGGCTATTAATATCATTAACCAAAATTGAACATCTGAATTAATGATTTTTTGAGATAAATAACTTGATATCTTTATATAAAGTACTATGACTTGCATCAATTAGTGAATTAAAAGATCTATAATTGCATTTAAAAAAACAAATATAACCTTCATAAGTTCTCTATACTTATTGTTAGAAAAATCTTATATATAAAGGGTGATCAAAATTCACGCAAGAAATAATTTTGATAGAAAACACAGGTTTTTAATTAAAAATTGTAAATATTACTCAACAATGAAGATACGTTATTTTTTCGTATAGTGTTCCACTTTTAATAACCCTGAACTGTCAGCTGTCATGCTGCCTTTCTTTTTCGTTGACAACACTTTACCACACAAATGACGCAAAATTCAAATCTTGCGTGAATGTTGGGACCCCTATATATACAGAGTAGATCACCACATATTACCATCTAGATATACGTCATTATTATTACGCATAGCGAAAAATGTCATATATATATATATTCACGTTTGATTTTATTATATTATTATTGTATTTATTATACATTAACATATGCTATATATAGAATACAAAAAATCTGTTAGAAAAATCACAATTGAGTATATTATTAAAGATAAATAGATCAAAGATGTAAAATCTAAAAATCAAAAAGACAATTAAACGATCACTCATTTTTTTCGTACCTATAACAAACCGATGTTTCAGAAAATTATATCGTGTTAATTTATTATTAAATATTCTTCATTAATTCCAAATCATAATTAATGCAAAATGTTCATGCAAAATTTTTGTATTTTTCTTATAAGTAAACTTTCCAACTTTCCGTTGTGACATTTTTCCATTTCAGTTATTGTACTCCTAACAATATTGGAATTTGGGTCAGTTCCACAACATCGCATTGGCTTTTACTGCAATGATCCAAAAATTTCTTTCAAGTTCATGGGAGACACAATTTCGATCACATTACTGATCGTGGGATGTCTTCTGCTACCAATTTTAGTGGTATGTAAATAACGTTTAAACGTATCCTTATTTGCTCGATAAGATTTATTCAAACATCTGTCATATCTTTCCTCATTTTTCCAATAAATGCCTTTGCCTAAGTTAATTCTTAATTCTGATAATTTTGAAAAGGTTATTTTAAAATGCGAATATAAATTTACATAACCACACAAAAGGGATATTTTTAAAAAGGCTTCAAATTTTATATAAATTTGATGCAGTAAAATTCAGCGAATAAGATTATCGTTTTATATTTTATATCATATTTCTATGTTCTATATTCCTATAAAAAATTCCTTTACATTATGCCGGAATAGTATATCTTTGTTGATTAATTCTTTAACAAGATGCAATATAAATTAGATAATAATGGCACGTGTATAAGTTCAGATCATTTTAAAAGGCATAAAAGTTACTAATTTGTGAGAAAAACATTTGTAAGAAAAATACTTATCAAAACTGTTAAATTATTTTGTAGAAAATGTAATTGACATGATTTTTAAGATTGAACTCAAACTACAGTGGTTAATAAGTATAAACAAACTAAGATATTAAAAACATATAGTTTGCATTCGCTTAAATTCTAAAAGCATTCAGTCTGTTTTTGTAATTGAAAATAAGTCCTAACATACGATAGTTGTAATATATAAATTTATGTAAATATATTATATGCACCAAATATTATATAAGTATTATGTATAAGATGCTTCATGTAAAATTGATCTTTTAATTTTTAAAGAAACTTTAAAGAAAAAAACAAGTGTTAATTGTACAAGAAAGTTTTTGAAAAAGATTTATTTCAGAATGTCAGTTCACAGATTGTGTTAAATTGACTCGATACTTATCAATGATTGATTTTGGAACAGTTGTAATTAATACAAAGATTAAACAATAAGTCAAGAAAATAATTACTTATTTACGGTGTATTTATATAATTTTATATATCAAATTTATCCTAGTATTGAAATTATTTTAAAACTTCAGGGTTTTTAATTATGTCTTTACAACTTAATTAATAAAAGAGTTTGAATTTTTTATTTATTCTAAAATTCAAACTTAATTTAACGTTTTGAGCTTAGTAATGATTATTTTCATATTAATTCTTTCAAAATGTAATGTGAAAATATATTTAAAATAATTCTTTTTCAATTACTTTTACACAAAACTCAAAAAATAATGAAAAATTTTTTGTTAAGTTGACAGATATTATCGTTGTAATTTACATAAATTGTAGCTATTACCGAAAATTAATTAAATTTTTTTAATTAAATTTTAATTAAATTTTTTTTATTAAGTTAAAAGAAAAATATAAGATCAGAAATAAAGGATTAGCTTTATTAAAGAAATACAGCAATGCTTTGATAATATTAAAATGTTGGATCTACAAAATCAATATTAACAAATTTATTTGATCTATTAAGAAATTTCTTAAATCATAAATTGTTGAAATAAAGAGAATAACAATGAATAGCAATGAATAATATGAATTAAGACATAGAGAACAATAATAATTAAAGAAACGAAGTCTTTATCTCTCGATGCTTGAGATCGACGGCCAATAAGTTATCATTTCGATTGACAAGAAATTAAATATTTATGATTTTTATATTTCCTCGATAAAAAAAATTTCAATTTATAAATATGAAAAAAATAAAGGTGAAATTTTAGTTTAAAATAATGCGTTACGTTTTAAGCATACTCCATCAATCATCTGATCACGTGTTATATATATAGTATTAAAGTTAGAAATTAACGAGATAAATAGTTCAAATGATACAAATAAGTTTTCTTAATCAAAATATAAGTTTACCTTAATCCATGTTAGAATTTCTTTTAAACCTGAACATTGAACACTAAGTTCAACCTATTGCAATTCTTTTTATCAAGAAAGAGTAAGAAGCGATGACTAATCGTTCGTTGTATTCATGTGTCAAGCGCCGTGTGGTAGAAACTTTGTCCTTCCGCTCACTCTAATGCACTGTGTTTACTTTAGTGGCGTGAGTTGTGCATGGGGAAGGATGGTCTCCCCTTTGAATTAGTTCTGAGAATTGGGAGGTACGGCAGAGTCCTTTTTAGTCGATATTAACGCAGTATTATTGTAATATTGCATATCTACAGTTGCAAAGAATGCTACAGTTGTTTACGGTTGTAAACAATACTACTCCCATGCTACAATTTAAGAAAGTTTAGTTTATTTATTAATTAGATTACAAGTGAAAATATACGAAAAGAAAAAAGGAAATAAATAAAAATAAATCTTGTATCTCCAAAAAGAATTGTACAATTTAATCCAATGCTAATAGGAGGGATTGTGATCAATTTTTTGGAAAAATGTCTATTTACTAAAGTTGTATTACGAGATATTCAAAATTGGATCTTTTTTGTTTTGTTTATAAAACCGTGATACTGATGAAAAACTTGTGCAATTGAAATATGTATCAAAAACAATTTTTGAAAATTTTATCAATTTTTCGAGAGAGAAAGAAAATACTCATCTTTATTTTATTTCTATTAAACCATATAATTATTTTAGTAACTACATAAAAGATTTGTAAATAACATTATACTTTGCGTTATTTAGATGTGGCTGTCCGAATTCGCATGTTATTCTGCAGATAGCTACAATAGAGAATTAGGATGTGCTGGTTCGAGAGCAAAGCAAATATGGTCATGGTATGGCCACTATTCCATCGGAATAATTGCCTTAACCTTTATATGCAATGTTATGAAAACTCTGATCGGCGAACCAAGACCACATTTTCTGGATACATGTAAACCAAAAGAGGCTATAAACTGTACAGATGGGTAAGCATTCTCTTATTTCTTAAGAAAAATAATACTTAATTCTTATTTTATTATATATTTTATTTTGTATTTTCTATTTGTTTTTTTTTTTCTTTTTTTTTCTTTGTATTATATGTGGATATTTTATTTTAGAATATAAAAGCAAGTTCTTTTTCTTCGTATATCTGTATTTTTTATTGCATCTTACTTCATCAAGCAATAATTTCCTTATTACACCGTACTTTATTAAGTAATAATTCTTTTTATTATATATTACTTTATTATTTTATTAAGCTACATTTCAATCAATTTTATTTTATTGAATTTTCTTTTTGTATAATAATTTGTTGTACTTTAGAATTCAAGCTATCATTCTGAATGTATTTTTCTAAGCATTACTTCCATAATAAATTTTCATTTAGTGTATTTCTAAATTCGTTTTATTATAATTTATTTATAATTAATACATTTAAATGTTTTGCCAAACCCAAGTAGACAATTTTTGCTCATAAGGTATCCCAGTGACTGATATTAATTCTTGTTATTATTTAATATCATTATTTTTTACATTTTGTTTCAGATATGTGGGAACATATACATGTACAAATACAAATGATTCAGAATGGTTTATTTCAGATTCAAGTAAATCATTCCCATCGGGTCATTCTGCCCTTTCCATGTTTACAACTACTTTCATTGTAGTAAGTAGATAATATATTTACATATAATTATACTAAGTGCTGCCCTCTTATATCCTATATGATGTCCTATAAATTAGGGTGATACATATTTTATGATTTTAGAATTTGTCTTATAGACTAAAAGTAATAATTATTACAAATTATGATAAGTTATTGATCTTGCTTTTTTCATTGTAAAATTAGTATAAAGTGATAGGCAATTAATTAGCTTAATAAAGAAGCATCAAATTTTGAATATATTAAATTTTTACCTTGAGATGTAATGTGTTTTTAAACCTTACAAAGCATTTAATTTAATATCATACTATAGTTACAATTATCTCCTGCTAAAATAATTTCTAAGAGTTTTACATGTTATCAAAGGATTTTAAAGAAAAATAAGAAATAAATAAATAAAAACTTTAGATATAAGATACATAGATGTGATGAGCGATGAAATTTACATTTAGCATTTAATATTAAAACTTTTTTAATTTTAATTTTTTAGGTTATGAGTATAAATAACTTTATAGCTCCTACTTATTCTTATTTATTGATGAAAAGAATTTTGATATTATAGCTTCAATTTATATTCTTATAACTAATGGCTTCTTTTATTGTTTCATATACATATTTTACTGACTGCAAATGTACTCTTAATTTTAAACATTAGCTATATATATGTATAATTTCATTTCTTCAATAATTACAGTAAATTTTATAAAAAAGAATATATATATTATTCAAATAATATGATAAAGATTGTAACATTATTTAATTGTAAATTACTACTTGCATTGTAGTAGGTTTCACTATATTATTAAAGAAATATGAAATCTGATATATAATTTTAATAACTTGTCTTTTGCTATTCTATTATTTTATTATGCATTCTTATATTACATTACTTTATTTATTCAATAAAGTAAATGAATTATATACTTATTATATATATTTATATACTTAATATATGTATTTATTCTAAAAATTATTTAAACGAAGGAATACTAGATTACTATGAAATATTTTTTAATGAAATTTTATGTTTTGAAAGTTTTAATTTTTGCAAAAATTGACAATAAGTTATACATTAATAACGTGCGATTAGTTTAATTTCTTTTTTGTTACTTTTGAACCTTTCTTCCTTGTTTCTAATATTAAATAAGTCTATTTTTCTATTGCAGTGGTATTTACAATGCCGTTTGCCGAATCGGACATTTTTCCTAAAACCGTGGTTACAATGTATGATATGCTTGTGGGCTGTGATATGTTCATTAACCAGAATCGGTGACAATAGACATCACTGGTGGGATGTACTTGCAGGCAACATTTTGGGTTTGGCTTTTAGCGTATTAACTGTTATAATGTCATGCCGTAAGTTTCATTTAAATCAAAATGTCTCGCAAATCTACAATGAATCGATAGAAAATGAACAAATTAATTATAACAATAAAAGAAAACAAAGTGTCAAGAAATTTCTGCATGAAACACCAGTCGATGTTTCGGAAAGTCGTGAATTAAAGAATGTTAAATCATCAACCTGGAAAGAATGAATACTAAAAATTTTAAATAAATAGTATAAAATGAATTTGAAAAGAGATAATGAATATTTTTAAAAATGTTCTTGTACAAGTGTTCAAAATTATTAATGATATTTAACGCACGATACAAAACGTTAGATATGTTTCTGTTACATTTGAAAAATTTAGTTCTTCATTGTGTCATTTATAAATATCCAACAAAAAATGTTACATCCATAGTTTATATTGAAAAATCTATTATTATAGGTATTTAACAAATGTATGTAATTGTCATAATTTGGCAGTAATACTATTTATGATTTATATCAAAATACTTTCTACAAAGTTACACCATGTCAATTGCTCAAAATTAGAATTATAATTTTGGTCAACTATTCTTAAATTATTTAAATCATTATGTTCATATTTATAATATTAGAGAATAAAAGATTAAAACGCACTTTTTGCTTGTTTAGGGACAAAAAGTATTTTGTTTTAAATTAGTAAATATTTCTTCCCAATGTGAAATAGTATTAGTTAAAGAGTATAAAATTATCTTCCAAGAAAAAGTAATTTTTTTTTTTAAACAATGAAAAATATTGGGCATAAACAAATTATTCTCTGCTAGTTTTTTGATAACTTTAAATTAATGTAAAAAGAATAAGGAGCATTATTCTTTTAACATTTCTTTAGTACAAGAAAGGTCATCAATTTCATTCTTTATCACACTTTAAATTTATCTAGTATTTATATTAAATGTGATCACTAATTTATATGTGAATCACATATTTTTTATATAGATCAAATAAATGTGAAATGAAAATAACTGGATAATGTTAAAACAAATAATTGGATCAGAAAAATATAAATTAGTATAAAATGGAAATTTTAGTAATATATAATAAAGATTAATATTTCTAAAGTTCTTGAAATTTTTAAATAACTAATCTGGTTTATATACATTATTAAAGATTTTATTTTTATTTCAATGAACAAAATTTTACTTAACTAATGCCAGAACAATGTTTTTAGATAAAATAAATGAATAGATTTGTCTTCTATAAAATCCAAGAACAAAAAAATTGATAGCGAATAAGTAGAACGTAATTATATTTTCTCTACTGTAAATTTTAATAGAATATTTGCACTTAAATGATACTATTCTTAATGAATACATGTCTTAATGAATACATTAAATACATATTTCAATAACAACATAATTCTTTAAAAAAACAATTTGACATATCACAATCTGAAGTTTAAAATTTTAGTGACATCTTTAATAACATTCCAAATTTTATATTTATACTTTTTTTTAGATTAATATTATTGAAATGTAGTACTATCATTACTGAATTATTGATAATAGCAATCAGAATGATTTTTAATCAATATCATGATCAAAATCATGATACTTTATTAGTCGATACTAATTTGTAACATATTAAATTAAAAAATCTGAGTATATCCCTTAAATATAAATTTTTTACTAATATAGATAATTGAAAATTATTTTTTTAAATTTAGAAAGGAGGAAGTTATTAATTCCATAATATATAAGCTCAAAACTTCTGGTCAAATTCATATTTTATAATACTTAAAAAAAAAAAAAGAAAAAAAAAGATAAAATAGAAAAATCTTATGCTCATAGAACATGTTAGTTTAAGTATAAAATGAATTCCATTCATATTCAAATATTTTAATTATTTTTATTTTGTAATCATATTATGTACAATTAAATTTTGTGTAAGTCTTGTATTAAATGATTTAGATTGTGACACTTGAATGTACATAGTGTTTAATGCAGTATATGATTTTAAAAAATAATTTTTTTGATCAAATTAAAACAAAATTAATCAAGATATAACAATAATCGAGCAATAGAAGAGACAAATAATATTTACTGTAAAAAGTTACTTGATTCAACAGAATTTAAATTCATTTAAAAAGAATTAAAATACGTAAAATTGAGAACAATTTTATATTTTTGTGTTTTTAAAAAATAAGATTTGTATTTTATTTACATGAAATATTAAAGATTAATATATGTAATGTAAACATATCAAAGGATTGGACAAAATTAGTTTATTGATTTTAATTTTTACACAGGCAAAAAGTGCTAAAATGCAACATGACAATTGATATTAATTAGTATATTAAAAAGTTTGTTAACATTTCTTTTTTTATTTTAATAATGAATAACTGAAGGTTTAATAGTAATTTGGATGAAACTTTACATATTCATACATTATTATATATTTGAATATTTACATCTTATGATCTTTTGTGTACTAATTCATTAAAATATGCTAATTTCATATATTATATATTTATATATGACCTCATTTCTTTTATTCAGTTTATTAAAATACTCATTATATCTTTTTCTGAAGTATAAACAGTAACAATATTGAGTTATCATCAACATAAAAGCTATAAAAAATATGCAGCTATAAATATAATTTTCAACATACATTTTATTTTAATGGATACAAAATCATATTTTTTTTATTGTTCTACAATTTTATATATTCACTTCCTAAAAAACAAAGTTTAATTTGTAACAAAATTTTCAACATATAGTCATTATATGTATTAAGATGGTTCTTAATTTAATAGTCTATAAAACACAGACTTGAACAGTAGTCCATACATTCTGAAATATAAAATTTCATAATTGTAGTCTACTATTATCCAGTCTTTTAACCAAGTTATTCAGCTACTTGATGGTTCTCTTTTTGTATTTATTTGTATATAGCTACATTATTATTTTTATTATTATTTATTTATTAATTTCTTCCCCACAGGCTAAGAAAATGGACTTGGTTTACAATTATCCGTGTTCTCTCACATACTTCCATACCATTTATCTCTATTGTAATGTCCAAATGTTTGTACATTCTTTATTGATTCATATCAACGGCCCATATCAACGTCATCAGACGTTGATGATCGGTTCTAGCCTCTTGGCTTGCAACTCCCACTCTTATTGACAGTGCTGGGTGCTACGGGCCTTGCCCCGTTCAGGGCAACCCTTCCTACCAACCGGTCATATTCCCCGTTCTCCTCTAGGACCTCGACTGTGCAGTGGATTTGTAATCCACTTATAAATTTCTCAACATCACCAGTAGAGAAAGGTCCTTCTGGCCCTGGTTTCGGACTACTGTTCGCCACAACCTTATCTACCGTGTCGTTGCCTCTGCGGGTCTGTTCTGCGTGTTCGCCTCTTGTTCACTTTCTGACTTTCTCGGTGTCAGTTTCCTCCATGCTGTCTTGCATTTGGGTTCATTATGGACGTAATCCATAATGGTCAGCCGCCTCGGTGCCAACTCATCACTATACTCACCTGTGTGGAACGAGCTCAATCTCACACACTGCTCCTCATCGTTGCTTGACTCGTTCTCATCTCAGGCCGCTCCGGCCAACGCCGGAAAGACTTCCGGAAAAACTTTCAATAATCGTCCATGTTAACAAATTACGGTATCTTTTCTCCTGCTATCCTCTATCCAAAGTAATTCTCTGCGTTTTTACGCTAATTCGCCTTTGAGGCTGACCACGGGGATTAATCCGACGTCAATAACTTGTTTACTCACTGTATCAGTTTTTCGGCAGGTCCGTCGGGTGAAGTCCGAATGAACGCTAATATATAAACTAGGTCTGATTTAAAAATCTCTTTAAAAAAAACTTCAAGAAAAAAACTCGTGAGTACATGTGGGGGTCCTAAATCCGTTTGCCCACTTGTATATAGCTAGATAAACTGATTCAGTCTTGCCAAAAATCATTCAACAATAATGTTTTCCTTTGTATATGTTTATGGATGTTTATTTGTAGGTATGTTCAGCATTAGTGATTCCGTCCAATGATATTAATCTTTTAACTATGATTGATGCAAAACAATTTATGATACAATATTTATTCTTTCTGCAGTTTAAAGTATAAATTATTATTCAACTATGTCATTTCATACTGTATGAAACTTCCAATCATAATTGTTTTAAACATATTACCATATTTCATCGGCATTATGGTTAGTTTCATTAACAATTCAATTCATATTAATGCCATTTTCTAGTTGACAATTGTTTAAACATCTATTGTTATATTATTAATCATCAGTAAAGTGGACTTTCTAATATTATTATTGTAATCTTGTTATATATTGTTTTATTCTATAAAATTATTTCTTTTTTGCTATATTCTTTTATTAACAGATAGTAATTGATTGTTAACGATTTTTTATATGTTGGTAATTCATTGTTATTTTTCTCCCATATACTCATACATCCTAAAATTTTTGACATATAGCTTGCTGCGTAACAAGATTCTTTTGATTAATATCCTTGAGTGTATTATTCCTATTTATTATTTACAGTATTTACATTGTTCAGTAATAAAAATCTTATTTTCTATATTAAATTGATAATATCAAATAAAAAGTTTGTTTAATACAATTTATATGTTGTTCAGTGGTGTTCTCAATAATAAGAAATATTAAATTTTTAAATTTTGAATTAAAATCTTAATGCAATATAATGTAATAAAATATGTATTGGGATAACCTTTAGAAAAAGTGTTATAATAAGTATAGAGATTTAGAAAGAAAGATATAGAGATATAGAGATATAAAGAATTTCTTCTCTTATATAATAGTTAAGTGCATATTCAATTTTATGTCTAATATAGATTATTTTATTCTTTATATTTAATTTACCGTTAGTAATTACACTACAAATAGCTAAGATTATTATAAAATACCAAGAAAAATGTAACTATTTACATGAATTATTTACATAAATTTAATTGTTATTCTTATATATTATCTGATGTAGTAAACAATATTTTAAATTAATGAGGTAAAGAGAAATGTTGTATAGTAATATATGAAGTTAGCACAAAATATTGTTTATTTTTTATCAAGATATAGTTCAAAATTTAATCAAATTATGCTATATTTATTTTTCATGTAATAAGGAAAATTATAAGTTTCACTATCATAACAAACATAATTTTATATAAATTATTTCAAATTCTAT